CGTGCATGGGTGGGACCCAGCCAGTCTGCCCTGATGGGGGCCAATCGGGCTGGGCTGGTGACAGGGAGGAGCCATGGGTGGTTAGCCAGCCGGCCCCATCCTTGATCAGGGTGGGGGGCCCAGTGGGTGCACTAGCTGAAAAGGATCTGGGGGTTGTCTCCACTGGGGAAGGGATGAGTGTGCATTATGTGCAGGAATAAGGGTGTGCATGAACATCTATGTTCACCAGGATTGTGGCAGAGACTGTTAGTTGTCAGAATATTTGATCTTCCCTTTTTTAACAATAGACTTTCAACTGTTAACAGTTAACTGTTTACAGAACCATGGCAACATTTCCCCCAGCCTCTTTTGCAACTGGTGTGTGGTTATGTGACCAAGTTCCAAGAGATGGAATAGAAGCATAAATAATGTGCATAATTCTGGGTGTGACCGTAAAAGGAAATGCACATTTTCCCTTTCAGTTTCTTCCTCTCTCCACTGGCTGGACTGCACACAGAATGCTGAACTGTCTGCAGCAAGATAGAAGAACCCAGGGCCGTTGGACATCTTTGCCTTACAGAGCCAAGCTTTAACTTCTAAAAGAAATAAACTTCTATGTCATTTAAACCACTGACATTTAAGGTCTTTTTCTTACACAGTTCAATCTTTATTCTAAAAAAAAAAATGCCAAGGAAAACAGCAGATCTCAGAAAGGGTAGAACCCAGTAAAATCTGGAGATTTGGGGGAAACATTCTGGAGAAGTAGAGTTTAATCTCTAATCTAAAGAATCAAAGAAATTAGCCTGGAAAAGCTCCAACATGAGAACTAGCATAGGATATTGAGGTACTGATAGAAGTTAATATGGAAGGAGATAGAAGGTATCTCATGCTGAACCTGGAGAGATAAGCACAACCCAGATCATTTTGAGCACTGCAGGCATCTTGGCTAAGGAAGGTGAAGAAGATGAAATGTCAAAAGTGAATTCCATATTTCTGGCCCGATCAACTATACAGATTGTAGCATCATTTGCCGAGAAAAGAAACAACAGAGAAATTGTAGGTTTTGGTGGAAAGATGAATTTACTTTTGGATATGTTAAGTTTGAGGTGTTTGTAAGTAGGCAATGAGATATGTGGATCTGGTGGTCAGAATTAAGATCTTGGGTGGAAATATAAATTTTGGAGCCATTGGCAAATGAATGGTAAATAAAGCTACAAGAATGGATAAGAACACCTAGGGTGAAAGTTTATACTGAGGAAAGAATATAATAACAAGTATCACATGACCTTACTCATATGTGGAATCTAATGAACAAAATAAACTGTTGAACAAAACAGATCCAGAGACACAGAAGCATGGAACAGACTGTTGAATCTCAGAGGGAAGGTGGGAGTAGGTGGGTGGGAAGAGATCAACCAAAGAACTTCTATGCCTATATGCATAACCCATGGACACAGACAATAGGGTGATGAAGGCCTGGGGCAGGGGGTGGGGTCAGCTAGAGGGGTCAATGCGGGGAAGGGGATATATGTAATACTTTCAACAATAAAGATGAAAAAAACTACCAAAAAATACAATGGAAAAGAAGAGGGTCTAATATCCAACTCTGAAAGAATTCCTACACTATACAATTGAATATAAAAGAGGGAACTGACCAGGGAGATTAAGAAGAAATGGCCTGAGAGAAATAAAGGAAGCTAGGCAAGTGTGTTGTCATGGAGACCAAAGTAAGACAGTGTTTCAGTAAGTAAAGAAGGGCCAACAATGTTGGGTGTTCATCCAGGATGAGCTCTGACAAGAGCCAGCAGGGTTTAACCACATGGAGATAATTGGTGACTTCAATGGGGGCAGTAAAGGCACTGGACTGTGAGCATAGAATCCAAATTAGGGTAGGTTATATAGTGAATGATGATGTGAGAAAAGAGACACTTTTTTCAAGAGGTTTATCTCCAAAGGGGGGCAGGGAGAGATAGAGATAGAGATAGAGATAGAGATAGAGATAGAGATAGAGCAGTAGCTGTAGGGTTTCTGAGATTGAGAGAAGTGCTTGGTTTGGTTTGTCTTTTTAAGTTGGAAATTTTTGAGTTAAACCTGTTTAAATAGAGAAGGAAAAGGTCCTTTTGCAAGGACATGATTTATGTAATATACAGAATAGTGGATAATACAAAATTCAACTGCATTTAAAGAGAATAACCAATTGTAAACATTCTCTTTTAGGTTTGTGCCATGCCTGAAACATTTAGGGAGGCTTTCCCCTTTAGCTGTTTAACTGGGCACATATCTTCTTAGGCAGAAGGCACTAACATCATTGGGATTTCTCCCTTGTTGGGGTAAACAACCGACACACTATAGCATGGTATTAAATGCATATTGACTTACAATATTTTCAACTTAATAAGTTTATCAGGACCTAACCCCATCTTCAGTCAAGGAGCATCTGTATGGGACACTGTGTTACTTTTTGAACATTCCAGGCATGTTCTCAGCTTAGGGACATTTCCACTTGGTGCCTGCTCTGCCTGAAATTCTCTTCCCCCAGATATCCTCAGTTTGCTCCTTTTTAGGTCTTTGTTCAAACAGCACATCATTAGGGAGACCTCCCATAATCACTCTATTTAAAATTGCAACCCCCCCTTACCTGCTTAATATTTCTCCATATTGTAAACACTTGTTTATTGCCTGTAATCCGCTTCTTGAATGTGAAATCCACCAGGGCAAAGTTTTTGTCATTTTGTTCAATGATCATTCTTAGCACATAAAAGTTGCTCAATAAATATTTGTTGAATGAATGGTTATTGTATCTTAGCATCCCCACAGATACAGGCAGCAGTACTAAGGTATGAGCCCATCATTTGCAGTATAGATAGATGATCAATCCTTGATAGTGAATCTTCTTAACAGTTGAGTCACATGTATCAAATAAAAAAGTTCAACTGAAACAGTTTATACCTAGTGCTTATTAATGTGGATCCTGATAATGTTCATTGGGTCATTTTTTTTCTTCTTCAAGAGAAAAGATATCTTTAGAGAAATGAGACGAACAATCCTCTGCAGTTGTGTGTCAAGACTGAAAGTCATTATCTGAAGAGAAAATAAATAAATCCTGGTAAAATGAGAATATTAGTTCAGGAGTTGTACCTTAGAAGTCTTTTATAATTTCTGAGTCTATAAACCTTAGTTTATAAACAAAAAGGTAAGTCTGTAGTTTTAAGGGGAAAAATACATTCCACTTAGGAAGACACAGGTGATATCAGAAGTAAAATAACTGTGGTAGATTTCTAGTTGTATCCCATTCTCTATTAGGGAATTATATGTCCTCACCCATTACCATGTGGCTTGAAGTGAGCCTGTATTCCTTATTTTTATAACAATGCTGAATAACAAACCATCCCAGTGGCTATAATAAGCATCTATTTTTCTTCCTCAGAGGCATGCAAGTCTGTGAGGTGGCTCTACTTCAGGAGGTGGCTTTCCTGGGCTTGTCAGAAAAAGTTTGTCTCACCCTGCTGAGTATAGAATTCTAAGTTGACAGTTTTGTTTTGCACTTTCGAGTTGTCATTTCATTTTCTTTTGACTTGCATAGTTTCTAATGAGAAGTTATGAAATTTCTTATTATCAGTTCTCTGTATATAATGTACCTTTTTAAGATATTCTCTTTATCAGTTTTTCACCAGTGTGATTATGATTTATCCTATTGTTTCCTTTATAGTTATTCTACTTGGGTTTCTTTGACCTTCTTGGATCTATAGTTTATATGCTTCATTCAATTTGGAATACCTTTTTCCATTACTTCAAATATTTTTTTCTTCACTCTCATCCCCTTTCTGGGGCTGCAATTAGCCTCTTGTATATTGTCCCATATGTCACTGAGGCTCTGTCTTTTTTTTTTGTTCAGTCTATTTTGTCTCTGTGCTATATTTTGGATTGTTTCTATTGCTGTGTCTGCAAATTCATTATTATTATTATTATTATTGTTTTTTTGCAGTGCCTGATGTGCTAATGCTCCCACCCAGAGAGTCATGAAATTTCAGGTATTTTTCATCTCCAGAAATTCAACTTGCTTCGTCTTTTTAAAAAAACACACAACACACAAAAAAATTCTTCAGTTTCTCTCCTGCCATCTTTTCCTTTAAATACTTGAGCATATTGAGTGCATTTATAATAGGTGTTTGAAGTCCTTGCCTATTAATGTCATCATTTTTGTCCTTTTTGGATGGTTCCATCGCCTGTGTGATTCATTTTCTTATTCCTTGGCATGTCTATTAAGTTTTGACTGGATGCCTGGTATATTGAATTGAATGTTCTTGAGTCCTAGGTTTTGTCCCAGCCTTTTGGAGGGAATTAGACATATTCAACTCCTGCTGCAGGGAACTCATGATTCCTAGTCCTGTGTGAGCTCTGAGAAGTGTATGGCTTCCTGCTCCCCCAAAATTGTTCTTTCCGGGCCTTGTGGAGTTTCCTGTGACCTAGTCACTAATTTTTATTCTAATAAAGATTCCGGGGTATTTCCACGTAGATTTCTGAAACTCGTTCTCCATGAACTCCAACTCATCAATTCCAACCAATTGGCCTACAAACCCCCTAAACTCACCCGTCTTCTCAGTTTCTCTCAGCCTGAGTTCCTCTTCCCTGCCCCTCGCACTGGAAATTACCTCCAGAGGGTGACAGAGGCGTCACCTTGTTTCTTTTCTGTCAGGTACAACAGTCCAGACTGCTTGCTGCCTGTTGTCTGAAAACAGTTGTTTCATACATTATGTTCAGTTTTTTTAGTTTTTTTTTTAGTAAGTCCAAACCCATTTTTTCTTGTCCTGAAGAAGACGTCTTATTTTGTTTGCTATGGTTAAATTTCACCTCTCCTTCTCAGAAAACGTTGATGGGGTCATTTTCTCTGTGGTGTCCTCTGACTGGGGTATAGACCCCGGAGTAACTTCAATAGGAGCCCGCCTCCGCGTAGGGGCGGGAAAGCCGGTTTTTCTCCCGCGAGCGTCTCCTTCCGCCTTCCTCCCGCCCGCGTCGGCCCAGACGCTGGCGTCCCGTGCGCGCCGGCTCACTGCGCCTGCGCGGCGTGTAGACGCCGCACGCTCCCGGAAGTGGGAGGTGTCTGCTCGAGTTTGTGTGGCCGCCGCCGCGGGAACAGCAGCCGGTAGTTTTTCCACGTAGAGAGGCGAGGTCTTCGAGTCTGGCGGCGTGAGAGTGAGCGAGTGTCGGTCTCCACAGCCCTCTTCTTACGTGACACCCGGCATGGAGGCTGATCAGCGTCAACAGCCTGGCGGCAAGGCAGTGGCTCCCGCGCGGCAGGAGTCGCCGCGGTCCGAGTCCGGGGAGGAGCCGCAGCTCCGGCATCCCGAGGTGAGCAGCCCGCCGCGCCCGCCGCCGCCCCGGATGCCCGCGCGCCCCTTTCTTCCTGGGTGTTCCGCGGGGTCCGCAGCCCGGACGCTTTTTGTGTCCCAGCTCCGGAGCCTTTCCTCAGGGTGGTTGTCCTAGAGCTCTCGCCGGTCCGAATTGCCTTCTGGGTGGGAGTGAACGGGCCAGGAGGGAAGCACGTGACCCGGGGCTTGAGAAGTTGGGTGGGAATTCCCACCTGAACGTGCAGTGCACGCTGTTGCTGTAGTCGTTCTCCCCGGCCGTATCGGTAATTGGCAGCTGTGTGCTTTTCTAAAAATCACACTGTGTGTATGTCGCTGGGGACCTTTAGGCCCATCTCCTCCTTCCTTCCAGCCTTTGGTGTCTGCTAGGGCTTCGTCCTTCATTTTTGTCCATTTATTACTATCTCACATAGACATACACATGACTAATTTTCTTAATGATTGCGACGGTTCACTGGTAGTTACGGTGGCACAATTGTAAAAACGGACTTAGGAGCTTCGTTATTCATCTTCTTGAATGAATCTAGTTACCTTGACCAGCGCTGCGGATTGTAAAACGATCTAATACTAAAATTCGTCATTTTCTGTTACTAACAAATTCATGTTGAGTGCCTCCTGGAGTGAATGCTCTACTTGCAAGAGGCTTCCTTGCTAGTGCTGCTTCCATCCTGCAGCTAATTCTGCAAGTTGCAGCTGGAATGATCTTTTTAAATAACCCATCGGACCGGGTTGCTCCCCTCCTTCGTCTTCAGTTTGTGGCCCCGCAGTCTTGGTTCCTGTGTCCATAGTAACTGCTTCGGCACACTGTTCTTCCCTTTTGCTCCCAGGCGCCTGGCCGCCTGGCCTTCTTGAAGGGTTGGTGTGCTGCCTTTGCCCCGTATGCTCTTCCTGGGGGTTTTGCACAGTGATCTCGTTCTCCTTTACATGTCACTTTGAAGAAGGTCTTCCAGGGGCCTTCTCTCTAGAGACCCATTCTTCTTTCACCTCATTTCCCTCTTCAGTCTGTGGCACTGCCAACAACTTCATCATGTAAGTCAGTTTAAGAATAATTTTTAAAGTTTATTTTAGTAAGAAGTAGAATTGAATATACTTCATGATATTTTAGTCTTGAAACTTGGAGCTATGGTGACGTAAGGCCTGGGTCTGTGTTCCAGATTGGTTTCAGTGACTGTCATATTTGTTACAGATCTATTGTTGGATACTCTTAATATGATGATGTGGGGTTTTTTGTTTTTGTTTTTGTTTTATTCTCAAGCAGAGTTTTTTTGTTGTTGTTGTTGGAAGTTAGCTAAGTAAATTTCCATTATTCCTAATATCAATTGTATTTGTAAACGAGTGTTGCATTTTTATATTTTTAACAAGTAGGTTTAAATTCCATCAGAACTCTTCCTTTGAAAGAGTATTAGTCCAGTTAAATTCACTAGGTTAAGGTGTTTTTTTAGTGTCTGGATGCAGTTTTGTTTTTAACATATTTTTATTGATTTCAGAAGGAAGGGAGAGGGAGAGATTAGATAGAAACATCAATGAAGAGAGAGAATCATTGATCGGCTGCCTCCTACATGCCCCGCACTGGGGATCAAGCCGGCAACCCGGCATGTTCTCTGACCAGAAATCAAACAGCGACCTCCTGATTCCTAGGTCCGACACTCAACCACTGAGCCATGCTGGCCAGGCAAAAAAAAAAAAACAACACAAAAAAATATTTTTGAACATTATAATATAGTTATCCTGAATAACTGTTACATGTGACTTTTGGAAATTGTCTGCTTGAAGCTGAATACATTTTCTTTTTTGCCTTGGGTACTAGGAAATTTTGAATTAGATTTCTAGTCTATGTTGTTTTTATATTGGGCAATTTCTGTTAGCATTGTGAAATGAAGTCAGGTGAAAAAATTCTCAGGAAGTCATTGCTTTATACATGCATAATGTAATGAGTCATTTAAAAACTAGTTTTTAAATTTTAGAATATTGTTAGTGAGAAGGTCTGTTCTATAATCTGTGGTAGTAATAGTAAAATTACGACTTATTAATAGCCAAGGTGGATATGGTATTAGGAGCCTGATACACATAATCTCATTTGTTCCTTATAAAAATCTTGCCTAAATACTATTTACCATTACCAATACCAAATACCATTTGAGACAATTGTTATTATACTTTGTTTTATTGATAAGGAAATGGATAATCAGAGGTTAATTAGTAACTACCTAAGGTCATGCTGCTAGTAAATGGTCAGCTGTGGCTCTGTACTCTCAACATCAGTGCTCTTCTTACTTAGCTTCATTGTTTATAAGGAACTTCTTGACTCAGGAGAGAACAGTCTCAATTGTATTGGAAACACATCTCTTCCTATCCTGCCTTCCTTCCAGTGATTGCAACAGGCATGTTTCATTGAACATGGAGCACAGAGACCCCATCCTCAGATGTTTGAATCTTTAAGATGCTTGTACTAATTTTAAACTATATCTTTTTCTTTTTTTGGTAGAAAAAGCAACGATGTAGGTATGATGGCCAAGAAACAAAAGGATCTAAGTTCATTACCTCCAATTCAAGTGATTTCAGTGACCCAGTTTACAAAGAGATTGCTATTACAAATGGTTGCATTAATAGAATGAGTAAGGAAGAACTCAGAGCTAAACTTTCAGAATTCAAGCTTGAAACCAGGTAAATAAAATTATAAATATAGTACATGCTCATCCTAGAAAATGTTAAAAACACTGAAAAAAGTTAAAAATAATCTTACCATAAAGAAATAGCCATTATTAAAAATTCAAGTAACAACTGTAATTTATATTCTTGTCTGTACTTGAATCTTTGTGTGCAACTCTTTTTTTTTCTATCAGTCTTTTAGGTGATTGACTAGGACTGGGGAGTCGAAGTCTGAATATTTTGACAGCCTACCAGTAGTGTATAGGAATATCTATCTTAATATACCAAGTATGTTTTAAGTTCTTTCAGTTGCTCATTTGGTCACTGGATAATATTTTATAATGAGATTGAATAATTTCTTTTGTCCATATGTATTACTAGAGGCCTAGTGCATGAAATTCGTGCACAGGTAGGGTCCTAGGCCTGACTGGCTATCAGGGCCAATCAGGGCCTTCTGGCTGCTGGCTGGGGCTTTCCTTCCCTGGCTGCCGGCTGGGGCCTTCCTTCGTACTGCACCGCCCCCTGGTGGTCAGCGCACGTCATAGCGAGCAATCAAACTCCCGGTCTCCCTGTTGAACTTCTGATGGGACACTTTGCATATTAGCCTTTTATATATATATAGAGTAGAAAATTCATGCACTGGAGGAGGGGGGTCCGGCCTGCCCCTCTCACAGTCTGGGAGCCCTCAGGGGCGGGAGGCGACACGGCGATCAGGGGAAAGCAACACCCCCATCGCACCTCTGCTGCTCCCACTGCCGGCAGCGCAGGCCTCGGCTGGCCCTGGTTACCTGAGCCTCAGGTGGCCCTGGGCAGCTGGGCAGCCACCATCCGAGGTTTGCCTGCACCTCAGGCCGCCTGGGTGGCTGGGGGGCTGAGGGGACTGGGGGACTCCGGAGGCAGGTGCGCGGAGATGAGGAGACTGGGCACCATCATCTTGTGGCTGGCCTTGCCGCGCACCTGCTGCCTCGGCGGGGCTGAGGAGACTGGGCACCACCATCTTGAGGCTGTGGGCGCTGCCATCTGTGAGGGTGTGGCAGTCAATTAGCATATTCCCTCCTTATTGGCTGTGGGCGCCACCATCTTTGAGGGTGGGGCAGTCAGTTAGCCAATAAATAAATATATTAAGGTATTTTGTTTTAAAACAACTAACTGGTTAATTATCAATATTTTCATGGGCAGGGTTGCTTTTCAGTGGTAGTTTAGAAAGGAAAATAAAAGTTAAAAACTTTTTTAATAGTCACTAATTGCTGATGTGACCAAAATACCTTACTTGTCCTTACACATTAATAAGATCTCTTTTTTACTGCCATTATGCATTTGCAAACCATTTATAGGACTCAACCAATAGGTACTGAGGGAAGTCTGAGCACTGGTTGTTACTCTTAATTTTTTTGAAGAAATACATACTGTTTGAAGAATGTGGGAGACCACCATTACCAGCCATTGTTAACTATTTAGAACAAGCATTTCCCACCCCCCATTTGTGGAACATGTATTTTAAAAATACCTGTAATACTGAAATCTACTAAATCATATTCTATCCATGGTAAATTAAGAAAGCTACATCTAATTAAGAACTTACTGGGTATCACAATGTTTTTCTGGACACAGGTCACTCTAGGGCAGTGATGGCGAACCTATGACTGCTCTAGGGTATCTTTTTTTTTAATGTATTGATTTTGAGAGAGAAATACTGATTTGTTGTTCCACTATAAATAAGTGGAACATAAATAGCATTCATTGGTTAAGTCTTGTATGTGCTCTGACTGGAGATTGAACCGTGACCTAGGCCAGTGATGGCGAACCTTTTGAGCTCGGCGTGTCAGCATTTTGAAAAACCCTAACTTAACTCTGGTGCCGTGTCACATACAGAACATTTTTGATATTTGCAACCATAGTAAAACAAAGACTTATATTTTTGATATTTATTTTATATATTTAAATGCCATTTAACAAAGAAAAATCAACCAAAAAAATGAGTTCGCGTGTCAGAGGTGTCATAGGTTCGTCATCACTGCCCTAGGCGAATCGGGGTGCTGCTCCCGACTGAACTACCCTGCCAGGGCCTAAGGTGCCTTCTGAATTAGTTTTTCTAGTTAATTAACTAACAGATATTCAGGTTTATATACTAGGCACATATGTTTTCATATTCATATGGATTTTTTTAGTTGTTTAATGTGCAAAAACCAAAAGAAAGAGATAGCACAATATGTTCAATTTACTTGAATTTTTATACTCTGAAATTTATATTTGGCTAGCAGAATAAGTCAATATTATTTTCAGTTTTTGTGTCATGTATGTCATCTTAATCTTAAAACAATATGGCTATGTAGGTGGTGTATGCTGGCAAGGCTTACGGTTTGAAGTACTAGAATATATTGAAGAAAAAATACTACAAAATGAAAAGGTATTTGCAAAAGAAAATATTGATGCTGTATTAAACATAATATTTTAATTTGTTCTTTGCTAAATGAGCTTTGAGTCTTGTTTTCTTTACATATATTTTAGTTAACATTTACTAAATTATTCTGTCACTGTAGGTGTTCAATCCAGTGACATCAGGTAAGAGTTCAGATTCTTGACCATGAAATTCACCTAAGAGTTAATTTTATTATTTTCCCTAGAGGAGTAAAGGATGTACTAAAGAAGAGGCTGAAAAACTATTATAAGAAGCAGAAGCTGATGTTGAAAGAGGACAATTGTGCTGACAGTTACTACGACTACATTTGTATTATTGACTTTGAAGCCACTTGTGAAGAGGGTAACCCACCCGAGTTCATACATGAAATAATTGAATTTCCTGTTGTTTTACTGAATACTGGTACCTTAGAAATAGTAAGTGAATTGTTATATTTTAATTTTACTTTTAGCAGTAACTATTCTGGGATTGGTTAGTAAGGCAAAGGATCTCAATTGCTGTTTCAGCTAGAATTAGAATTCTAAGTGGGCCCTTTGCTCTCGCTGTGTGCTTTGTATCAGCTTGATTAATAGAAAAGCTATAATAAAATATTTTAGAGTCTGCTTTCTCTTTTTCCAGTAGCTAAAATTATAGTGTTTTTTCTGTTTGCTTAGAACACATATCTGGCTAGACTTCAGAATCTCCTGGGTTGTGAAAAAAAGTGCTGATGCCTGGCCCTTATCCCAGAGATTCTGGATTAGTTGTTCTATGCTGGGGTCCCTGACGTCAATAATTTTTAAAGCTCAGTTAATATGCAGTCAGGGTTGAGAATCACTGCTATAGGCTAATGTATCCTCTGATCTCTGAAAATGATAATTTACAGAAATCACCTTTCAACTTAGAACTGGCCATCTTTCTGGTGATAAGTTTATGGGGGAAACAGCTCTCATAACCTAGGCTTCTTAGCCATGTGAATATGTATGTGCTTTAAATACTAGTTATCCGTGTTACTAGTTCAGGAAGTCAGCAGGAATTCTCCATAATAATACTGTTCACCTTGTAAAATCTGAGAGAGAATATATCATAACATTTCATCTACTCAAAAGTTACTTCCAACACTATGAGATATCATAGAGTCAAATTTTGACTTCAGAGTTCAGTTTAATGGAATCTTAGTATAATGACTATTGAGTAAATGAGTTAGCAGTAATTTATTTTAACTGAAGACTGGTATTTAAAGGAATTATAATTTAAAAAGCTTTTAGTATCTGGAATTAGAGGTTGCATTTAATAGTCTGACAGTTTCAAAATATTACAAACAAAAAAATTTTAAAACTGAAACGTAATTTTTAAAATAAAAAATCAGTGTTTCTGGAGAATTTATCAGTGCTGCCTTAATTAAAATGGATTATGAGGGGGAAAATCAGAGTGCTTTGGGAACAGGGAAGTACCCTTAAATTGTTAAAACTAGAAGTTCTATGCCATAAGCATCTATAGTTATAATCTTATGTGGTTGTATTTGTAATGTATCATGTGTCACGTATCTTAAGTCATAAAAAGACATTAACTTGCTGTCCTTTCCTTATAGGAAGATACGTTTCAGCAGTATGTGAGACCAGAGGTTAACACCCAGCTTTCTGATTTCTGCATCAATTTAACTGGAATTACACAGGTTATAATTCTATGTTCCTTTTTCAGGAGTTTGAAAATTGTTTTTAAATTAGCGATTTATTTCATAGTTTAAGTTAATAGGTACTTTGCTGGGTAAAGATTTTTCATATTGTAATGTTTAAGAAATAGAAAAGCAAATTCTGTATCTAAAATTTTTCTCAACTTTTCCTTTGAAGGAATTGTAATGATGAATCTAAAGATTCATTTGTTTGCAGTGTTAGTAAAATAAGTGTTACTGTGCTGAACTTGGAGCTAAAGTTTAAAAATATATCTGTTATCAACCTGACTTTATATACAGTATAGTTACTTTTTTTAGTCTCTGATTTCTGGTTGTATTTTAATGTGGTAGGCCCTTTGTTCATTTATTTAGCTCCTTTATTTATTCATTCATTCACTCACTCAACAAATATTTGAGAGCCTACTATACTATTTGCCAAGGTACTAGGGCTACAAAGATGGTCAAGTCAGTCTCTCTCTCAGTTCAGTTAACAATCTATATTCAGGAGGACACAAAGAAGAAACCAGTGGTCACAATATGGTTAGGAAGGCTTACAAGTAAGTTAGTGTTTCATCAGGGTATCATAGGCATCTAAGAAAAGGGCTTCCTGTGACAGAGGGGCTGTCCTGGGAGAAACTTGCTCACGTTGGTGAACTTGGGCTGAGTCAGGATAGGTCAGTAGGTGGAAAAGAATGACTGGGCATTTTAGGTGTAACAGCAGGATTGTAAGTAGTTCATGATGTTCACAGGCTTATGCTCCCACATAAACCTAAAGTGGTAGCTGAGACATGCCATGTTATGAAGAATCTTGTGTGTCTTTTTATCCTGAAAGCCTTGGAGAGTGTTTGGAGGATTTTAAGTATGAAAGTGATGTGATGGGTAAGATTTACATTTTAGGAAGATCAGTTTGGCAGTGGTATGTAGTATGTGGTAGAAAGATGTGAGCTTCGAGATAGATTAGTGTAGAGGGCTATGGCTTTCAGCGAGAAGAGATTTCCCTTTTCTCTACTCCAGAGAATTGGTAAGCTGATAGGTTGAGGCCTACAAAAAGAGAACCATTGAGGATGATCTTAAGTCTTAATTTTGGGAGGATTATGTGCTTCACTTGAAAGTAGTCCCTAATACTTGGCTAGAAACAATTTTTAATTATCTTAAAAATGAAATGTTAGGTGTATCTCAGCCAAGGAAATCATGAAGAATTTAAAACATCATAGATAAGACTCTCGTTCTGTTCCTTTCCCTCCAGTGTTTGTGTCTGGGTATTTTGTATGACTACCTGTTGCTACTCTGATTTTTGTGTATTTTACTTTTATATCCTCAGGATCAGGTAGACAAAGCTGATACCTTCCCTCAGGTACTGAAAAAAGTAATTGACTGGATGAAATTGAAGGAATTAGGAACAAAGTATAAGTATTGCATATTAACAGATGGGTAAGTAGGAAAATTTATAATACTTTTATCTACTTTTTAAGATTAAGGATGTCCTTATTTAACTTTTAGAATAACCATAAGAATGTTCTTTAGTAAAGGAGACAATATTTTTCCTTTTGTTATCATTGAAAGCAATGAAAAACAGTCTAATCCAGGACTGGAAGGCTAGAAAAAGATACATATTAATATGTGAAACTAAAACTGTTTCACATAAGGACACTTTCTTGCTCAGAAAAGTCCAACTCTTCAGTCTTGCGTTCAAGGATCTCTCATCTAATGTTGCCCTCCCTGTGTAGCTAAGGTACCTGCCATTCTTTTTTACTTTAGTCAGGCTGGCCCATGGATCACATGGTTTATCCTTTTCTGTGTGCTTACGCTTTTCTCTCTACTGGAAGGCTCTCTTCCTTTACCGCTTCTTTGTTCTTATTCAAAGCCTACCACATGTTTACTCCAGACACTCCAATTGACATTGATTCTTTTTTTCTTGAAATCATAAAAACCTCTCTGATGCGTACCATTCATATTAACATCTGACTAAATATTCTGATATCTAAACTTTGTGTACATAAGACTTATGTTTGCAAAGAGATTAAAAATCCTCTCAGAGCAGGGACTTTGGCTACTTGGTGGTCTTTCATATAGCGCTTACTGTAGTGTTGAGTTAAACATGTATGCTCCAAAGGCATTTGTGAAATGAAAGACTTACTGGGAAATGAGGAACATCAAAAGAAGCTGTGCAAGGCAGCTCCTCCCATAATGCTATTCAGGTTCAAGAAGGAAGTTCTAAACAACTTCTGTTTCAAACTGTGGACAGATTGTACACTACAGCTATGATGTCACCTACATAAAGGATTTAGAGACCCTTAACGTACAACAAGGAAAGAGCATTACTTTTAATCACATTGTAATGATGTTTTAACAATGCATGGGAAAATGTTGATGGACCTCTTTAGAAAATCTCATTGATTTCAAACACGAATGATCAGTGTTCCTGCTCAAGTATACAGATGTTTTTGTTGTGACACAGTGTGTGCGATTCTGTAAAAACCTCACATTCTGGGACAGACCATTCATAACCTGTGCAATTAACCAGAGCACTAATAAAGGCAGTAATTGATAACTCCAGACGTAATTTGGACAGCCAGGCAAGCATCTCCGTAGGTGGGGACTTTACTGAAGTTGCATGAGAGGATATTATGCATGAAAGCAATGGGATTCTGGGACAGGCACTTATTTTTAATTTTCTTATAATACATTTGAAAGTACTCCTGTTGCTGGTACAGTAGCTGAGTTGAGAGTTGTTTTTTTGTTTTTTCTGCTGAAGGTTATAAGTTTGACTGCTATCATTCTGACTCCCTCTCGCTAGTAAAACCCACGTATTAAACCAACACAGTTTCCGCATTATACAGTCCATATTCTCCTATTTAATTACATAGGTTGATTAGTATTTTAGGAACATACTGTAACAGACCAAATTGTATTCTAACTACCTGATACCAGCTCCATTTATGTCTTTCAGGTATTTTGTTCATTTGTTTTTGTTGTATTTCAAAATATACCCTCACAAAACTTCCCAATATGATAAACCTGACACTAAAAGTAAGCTTAGCAGAATTATTTTAGAATTATGAAAAAATATTCAACAAGATAGAGGTTTGCCTAGATAATCAGAACCATAAAAATAATCAAGATAACTCTAATAGATTGTGAAAAAAGTTTAATATACACAACTTACTATTTTTTGTTAGTTTATTTTTGAATTAGTATTTTAGAAGAAGAGATTTTAATTTCCTAAGCTCTATGTTATGTGTAAGTATAAGAAAGAAAGGTGTCGTGTAAATAAAAAACAGAATGAGTTAAAATACTCATTTGTAAAAATAGTATAGCATTTATTTTATCCATTTATTTCCTATTTTTGATTTACAAGTTCGTGGGATATGAGTAAGTTCCTGAACATTCAGTGCCGGCTCAGCAGGCTCAAATATCCTCCTTTTGCTAAAAAATGGATAAATATTCGAAAGTCATATGGAAACTTTTACAAGGTAACAATTCCTATATTTTGATTATATTTTTAAGCTGTTGATAAGTTTATTATGTTTTGCATGCACATTAAGTTATGATTCACTAGGTGCTTTTCACAGGAAAAGGCCATATAATTAGTTGTTACTTTTCAGATTCCAAATTAGTTATGTTCATATGAGATTAGAAAGAGAAGCTGTTTTTTCTTTTAAACTGTTATGTAAGTGGGTTAACATGATCGTCAATAACAGGTTTGAAACTGTTGGGGTATTCAATATGTGGATTGTTTGTGGAACAGTTAATCACTGAATTTTAATTTTATCAAATTGAATACATGTAAAACATTTATTGAATGAAAAATTTTAAAATATAATATTGCAAAGCTGTTAACAGTTGGCAGTTTTCCACCATGGCCCTTATCAGTACTGGTTTCTGTTCTCCTGAGACAAACACTTTCAACTTTTTAAAACTATTTCTTCTAATACTGACCTTAATATTTCTAAATTATGTGTTTATACTGTTTCTTGAATTTCAGTTTGAGGTATCTATTAAGCTCCTCCAATGGAAGATGAAGATTTAGCTCTCTTGAAAAGCCACTGTTTTGCATGTCCTTCTCCCTGCATCTTTCTGATATAGTTACATTATCTCTACAATTGAATCATTATTCAGTGTTTATATTCCTACTAGAGGCCCGATGCACGAAATTCATGCAAGAGTAGGCCTTCCTTCCCCCAGCTGCTGGCACTGGTTTCCCTCTGGCACCTGGGACCCAGGCTTCCCTCACAGCTCCGGCTTCGTCTGGAAGGTCGTCCGGAAGGACATCTGGAAGGACATCTCATTTAATTAGCATATTACACTTTTACTGTTATAGATGATGATGGATTGTGTTCATAGCTTTTCCTCAGATTTAATAATCAACTTTAGTTTTCTTATCCTGTTCCTTTCCATTGAAACGGTAAATCACTTCTCAGCATCTGTAGTCTGTCTGTTTTTTTTGTTTTTCCTTTGGGGAATAACTTCCTGGAGCCTTTAATCCTGTTCTGATCTGAACTATTTGTTGTTCAGGCTTCTAAAATCATCTAGGAGATTTCCTTTTCTTCTCTATCATCTCTCTCATCTTTCTTCTTTTACTACTTCATTTTGGTGAAGCACATCCTAAAGTAGGTTCATGAGAAAAGTTGTTTGTTTTAAAATGTTTTTGGAGTGTGGTTTTAACATTTCTTAAAACTGAGAACTATGGATACAGAAAAGTGAAGTTTGACAGGTTGTTTAAAGTGAAATCCCTTGTAATTTCCATTTATTCATCCCCCCTTCCTCCCAGAGCTCCCCTAATCCATACTTTTAATAGGAATCATTTTCTTGCTTTTGTGTACAGCCTTAATATGTATATGTTTATCTTTATATAATAAAGTTAGGTTTTGCCTATTTTTGAACATGATATAATTAGCACCATACTGACTGTTTTGTTTATTTTGCTTTTCCCTCAACATTATGGTTGAGATTTTCCATGTTGTGTATTTGGTTGTAGCACATTTATTTTATTGAGAATCCCATTGTGTGAATATACCAGAGTTTATCTGGTGTACTTTGGCTGGCCATTTGGGTTTCGGTTTGAGGCTTTTATGAACAGTAGTGCTAGGAACATTCTTGTGTATGTCTTCTTGTGTTTTTGTGCACTCATTTCTCTAGGCTATAAACCTAGGAGTGGAATTGCTTGGGTATAGGACATGTGTATCATTGGCATTACTAGATTATGCAAACAGTTTTCCAAAGGACTTACATCAATTTGCACTTTTCACCTGAAGAATATATGAATTGATAATTGTTTCACGTTTTTGCCAGCATCTGGTATTGCCATACATTTAAAATGTAATTCTACCCTAGCTGGTTTGGCTCAGTGAATAGAGTGTCAGCCTGCGGACCAAGGGCCTTGGGTTCAATTCTGGTCAAAGGCATGTACATCAGTTGCAGGCTCCTCCCTGGCCTGTGCAGGAGGCAACCAATTGATGTATAGTGATTCTCAAAAGTGAAATTTAAGGAGTGTGTGAGATTTTTTTTTCTTCACTTTTTAAACATTTTTATTAAAAAATAAAACCCAAATACAGAAAAGCATAGATATTGTGCAGCTATCACACAGATTAAGAAATCTGACAGCTACCTCTTAAGACCCTCCATATTTATCTAAATCCGTGGTCGGCAAACCGCGGCTTCGCGATCCACATGCGGCTCTTTGGCCCCTTGAGTGTGGCTCTTCCACAAAATACCAGGTGAGGGCGCGCACGTACAGTGCGATTGAAACTTAGTGGCCCATGTGCAGAAGTCGGTATTTTGTGGAAGAGCCGGTATTTTGTGGAAGAGCCACACTCAAGGGGCCAAAGAGCCGCATGTGGCTCGCGAGCCTCAGTTTGCCGAGCCGCAGTTTGCCGACCACTGATCTAAATGGAGTGGGTATTTAAATAGGCTGAAAAATACGTGGCATTGTCTTTCATTCTTTTTAAAAAAATTCTCACCAAGGATATGTTTTCTGTTGACTTTAGAGAGAGAAGAAGGGAGAGGGAGAGAGAGAAACAAACATTAATGTGAGAGGGAAACATTGATCAGTTGCCTCCCATACATGCCCTGACCCGGGATTTAACCCACAGCCTGGGTATGTGCCCTGACTGGGAATTGAACCTGAGACCCTTTGGTGCACGAGACGATGTTCCAACCAACTGAGCCAGATATGTTTGGTATCTCTGTCTAAGGAGTCATTCAAGTAAAATAATACATTACAGAAAAATACCATGTGAAAAAGAATTTGTTTGGGTTAAAATGGTAGAGCTTCAGTTTAGAAGAACAACACATTTCCTTTTATAAATGATTTGTTAAATTATAAAACTGTAAACTTTTTAGATGTCTTGAGGATTTCACCTGTCGATACATATTTTCATCCAAAATACTAGAGCCATGGAGGTTTGTATTATTAATTTACTTTAACCAGGAGTATTTGCCCTTTGCTTAACTTTATTTAGCTATTACTATTAATTTTCTTTCTTATTTTTTTACTTCATAGTCACTGTTAGAATAATAAAGAATTACTTATTGTTTGTTTATTTTTCAGGTTCCTAGAGGCCAAACCAAATTGACAATAATGCTTGAAAAACTAGGAATGGATTATGATGGGCGGCCACACAGTGGCCTTGATGACTCCAAGAATATTGCCCGAATAGCAGTTCGAATGCTTCAGGATGGATGCGAACTCCGAATTAATGAAAAAATGCATGCAGGACAGTTAATGAGTGTATCTTCCTCATTACCAATAGAGGGCGCTCCACCTCCACAAATGCCACATTCTAGAAAATAACAGCATTTTTGCCTTTTGCCCATGGATCATTCACTATAACTGGAGTTGCTACAAAGGGGTAGCAGATGAATACTTATTGAACTAGTCTTGCAGTGCAAAATTTAAGCACCTTAGATATAAAATCTTATTTACAGTTATAGATACATATACGTGAACAGATTCTGTGGAGGTCATATTGAATTATTTGTCACCAGCACTTTTATATGAGCAGTAATTGTTACACAGTAACAGTTCCTTTAGAACTGAATTTTATAGTTTAAGGTGTCTAAGATGTGTTTCTTTTGGTTTTAAATGCAAAGGTTTATTGAGTTTCCCTTTGATTGTCATCTCTTACTGAGTTAAAATACATAATGTATTTCTACATTAACATCATTAGATCAAATTATTTCTTAATTGCAGAAAAGATTGGAAGGTGGACCTTATAGCTTTTGGTTTCTAAGAATATTATAGTCCTATTGATTTTTGAAGTTTATATGTGAAGTTCAACTGTTTGTGGTGAATTTCATAAAAGTACTTGGTACACATACTTGTCTGTGTTTGTTTTCAATTTATAATTGTAAGACTTGTGATAGATTATAGGGTCTGGTTAAAAATTCAGCACTGATGACAATGGCAAGTCAGAAGAAAATACCATTTAAAGGAATATCAGGGCTATACCTCAGACTTTATAATACACAGATAAATCAGTGGGATTTGGCGACTTGGCTTTTTGATTCCCCTCCTTCTCATGACATATAACTGCCCTAATTCTTAAATCTAAGAGACCATGCTTTGAAGTAGACTTAAAAACTAAGGGTCATAATTTTTCATTTGTATTCAACATTGTGAGTGAGGTTAATAAAGTCAAGTAATTCTTTCTACCATGTTTTATGTTTTTATTATTAAAAACTGATTTTACATAGTGACCACTAAATGTTGAATAGTTAATTTTTAACTAGTTGTAAAAACAAAAATGTGTTCACAGAGTTGAGAAAGGAAAACTCTTTTTATTTAGAAGCTAAAAATACATATTTTCAGACTTGCATTTTCCCCTATAGCTTTCATGAATAATTTCATTGGCATTTTTTTCCATGGAGCATTTTCATTGACATTGCTTTTTTCTTCTTTAATAATTGTGATGCTACTTTATTTTAATGATTTATGTGTTATAATAAAATGAATTTTATAGAGGTTTTTCAACCCTGATGGATAGGATAAAAGTAGGTATTTTTCTTGGTATGAAAATATACACAGTGCTGTAGGGTATTTACTTAAAAGAATGAATTTCTGCCCTTGGGCAGTAGTTGTAGAATCAGCATAATAGAGAATAACAGGTGGACAATAGAAGGCACAGGGGTATATGATGCCCTTAGACAAACTGATGTGGAGTATAGTGAAACATCTAGAAGTTTTAGGTTTTTATAGTAAACTCTGGAGGTGAAGTGAATATATGCTGAGATTTTTGAATAACAAATATCACCATATAATATACCATATGATATTACTGAAAGTTTTAAAGAATTTCCTTCAAATACTTGCTGAGCTACTGTGCCATGGCAGAGAATAGCAAATCACTATTGAAATGTGGATGCTAGGAGATCCATTTGACATACTCCTTGGGTGATTTTGCTACATTAACCACATTACCGTAGAATTCAAATTCATGGCCATGGCAAAACTGGAATTACCTTTCACCAGCTTCCAGAGTTGCTCATCAATAGCTGAAGCTGCAAGTGGGAAATCTGAGAATGACAAAGAAATATAACCCTGCCCTCCTTTTTTGTTTCTTTTTAAGTCAAGCTGCCAATTTCTTTGCTGATTTTTCTTTTTGCTAAGTATCCAAGTACCAAGAAGCTCATTTTATATTTATTGTTAAGACCTCAACATTATAAGCTCTCAATATCCTTTGGCTCAACCAAATATTTTATCTGGTGATACTTTATAGTCCTAATTCATTTTTCTAGACTTTATGCAGAAATAATGGACAAATATAATTGTATATATTTAAAGTGTAAATGTGATCATTTGATACGCATTGTAAAAGGATTACCAAGATCAAAATAGGTAACACATGTATCACCTCATATTTTTTTTTTTTTTTTTTAGTGGTAAGAATTCCTAAGGTCTCAGCAACTTTCAAGGATATAATACCATTTAATTAACCATTGTTACCTTGTTGTACATTAGATCCTCAGAATTTATTCTTTTTATAACTGAAAGTCTGTACCCTTTGTCCTACGTCATCCCATTTTCCCCATCCCTTGCCCTTGTTGGTTTGTAGTTCATTGTTTTTGTGGGAAGATGAGCATTGGAACTGCCTAGCCCTTCATCTTGCTGACCTCACGTTCCTCTGAACTCATTGTTAATTGCTTTGTTGAGTCTCTGCCCTTCCCTCCAATTTGATATAACTGGTATCAAGTGGACTTTTGTTTTTAATATATTTTTATTGATTTCAGAGAGGAAGGACAGAGAGATAGAAATATCAATGATGAAAGAGAATCATCGATTGGCCGCCTCCTGCATGCCCCACACGACCCGGGCCGGGAATTGAACTGTGACCTCCTGGTTCATAGGTCAACACTCAACCATTGAGCCACGCAGGTTGGGCCAAGTGGACTTTTCATTGGATTTTGCTGAAACTGTTAATCATGCCTGTTCTGATGAGATGAAATTAAACATAGGGAATACTACTTTATACTTTTTGATTTTTGCAAGGGAAATGCTTAAGAGATGAATGCCATCTAGTATTTCAGAAAATCAATAATAATTTATTGTCAGGTTTTATTTTCTTTAGTATTGTAATATATACTATATACTATAATGATATTAATATTATTTATTCTTTACAAAAAACCTTTTGTTTTTTCTTTAACAATCAGCTATGTTAATTTTTTGCTCTCTACTTTTCACTTGTTCTGATACATTGAGATACTAGGTTTCTGTTGTATTATTTCAGATGCACAATCTTTAGAACCAACTGAGGTATATACCAGAGCACTGTATTTTGTTCGTGGTTTGTTTTGTGTTCTTTTGGATAAAATACTTGAAAACATTTGCTGTGAAAAAATCTTTTCTGAGGTCTTTTTTTTTTGCCCCAAAATAAATCTGTTTAACCTGTTCCTTAGGGACAAATTTCTACTTGGATTGAAATGAAAAACCATAGGCGTCACTAACATATTATCTATTAAAAGGGACATGGTATCACTGAAGGCTACTTTATGGTCATTTTTTAAAGATGGGACCAGTTGTCTTGTTCTCTTTAGTACATCACGATAGCCCCAATGATCATGCAAAACAGAGTGATTTGGGGGAGAGGAAAAGAACGTAGTAAAATCGAAGACAGGAGGAAGCAGGGTGGTCAGGATAACTAGGTTTGGCGTAGGCTGTAGGTGGGGTCACCAGAGCAGCTACCTGCCCCTTATATGAATATGCCTGTATGTGCTGCAAAATTGGATAGATTGTGTTTTGAAGGAAGACTTTCAGTATCTAGGCTGTGAAGAAGCGTGCATTCCTTGAGAGCAGGGACTAGGACTTCTCCATCTTCGATTCCCATGGTGTGTGATTCCAAAAGTGCCTTGCCCATAGTCAAGTTTAGTGTTAATAAGTGAATGACAGCTTTCAATGTCCTTTTTAAAAATTATACTTGGAAGTTTCCTCTTCTGCATCATGAACCTGTATTTCAATTTCCCTGCCCCCAGAAAGCTTCCAAAGCCCATACACTGGTTAATCTGGAGCAGGGGCTGGCAGACTCCCTCCCATAGGCCAAATCTGGTCCCCCGACTGTTTTTCTATGGTCTGCAAACTAAGTATGGCTTTTACATTTTTAAATGGCTGAAAAAAGTTAAGAGAGAATAATATCGGTATCCTTTACGTTCTGAAAGTCCACATTATGCCTCTTGGCTTTATAGGAGACCTACATTAGTACCTGGTTTCACTAGCTGAGTGAAAAACAAAGATTTTTGCTTTTACGAAAACTGTTACCATATTAAAGCAGGTCTTTGGTAAAAGCAAAGTGGCATATGTGAGTTTTTGGGAAGTGGGTATACTCTTCGCTTTATGCCATTTCAGTTTATGATGGGTGTCACAGGAAGCTGTACTTTAGCATATGAAATATATGAGATTAAATTTCAGTTTTTATAAATAAAGTATTGGAACACAGCTACCATGCTCATTTGTTTGCATGCTGTCTGGTTGCTTTGTGCCACAATAGCACAGTTGAGTAGTTTCAACAGAGACCATCTGGCCAGCAGGGCGGAAAATATCACTGCCTCACCCTTTGCAGAAAAGGTTGGCCTATTCCTCCCTCTTTGACCTAGAGCAGCGGTTCTCAACCTGTGGGTCTCGACCCCTTTGGTGATCGAACGACACTTTCACAGGGGTCGCCTAAGACCATCCTGCATATCAGATATTTACATTACAATTCATAACAGTAGCAACATTACAGTTATGAAGTAGCAACGAAAATAATTTTATGGTTGGGTCACAACATGAGGAACTGTATTTAAAGGGCCAGAAGGTTGAGAACCACTGACCTAGAGCAATATAAGGTTCCGTCAGTAAATAAGAAATAACTGTAGTAAGGATGCTAAGGTACAGTAAGAATTTCTCCTGATGTGGAATCCTGCAGGATTATCTCCATTTTACAGATGAAAAAATTGAGGTTCAGAGAGGTTAGCTTGCCAGAGTTGAAGTAGTGGGAGTTTCAAACTTAGGCAGTCTGAGTTGAGCCTTACACTTTTACCCTTCACTGTGCCACCTCCCCTGATAGACCAGCTCATTTGATATTCTGTGAACAGATATGTTGTCCTACATAGTCTGGACATCTTCCTGCTGCATTTTAAACTAGACACTTCATCGTCTGATTGTACTAAATGTATATCAGGAAATAATTTGATGTTCATTCTTTGAATGGAACAAACATACAGATACTGTTAACTTCAAAAGTAACAAGCTTACAAGGCTTGGTGGAGTCTGGGGTCAGTGGGAAAGGAAAAAGGTTTATGTTCTAAAATTTTCCCAGCGTGCTGAAAGTGAGGACTATAATGAGTCTGTAATGAGACAGAGGTCAAAGGACTTAAGCTTGGCTGATGAGGGGCTGAAGGGTGGAGGTAATTGTTTTTATGAATCATGCAGCAAGACCAGTAAGAAAGAGGCTGATAAGTCTGAGGTGTTAGCTAGATCTGTTTTTGAATATTCTCAAGGAAAATTTATTTAGGGTGATTATTGATAAATCATTGTGGGTACAGTATGATCAATGACCAGTTTAGAATACTAATTCTTTTCCCCCTGTATTGAGCAAGAGAACAAAATAGGAGAAAATGTATGATTTTCTGTATAGTTGGTGTTGGCCAATGAGTTGGAGATTGGGCCTTCCCCTTCATTTGCCTGCTGACCCTGCTCCTTCAAACATAAACCTGCTTTCCTTTTGGATTTATTGTCAGTGGGACAGTGATTATCATAGGGAATGAAACCTGGGAATTACTTGTAGTTTACCCACCCCTTTTAGCACAATGACCTTTATTTTTCATTCACAGTATCCTTGCAACAGGCTGCTTCCATCCTAGCTACCCAGGCTATTGCTAAAATGGAACTGACTCGTCTATCTCTCTTGCTGTCTCTTCCTATATGACTGTTATTTTTTAAAAAAAGATTCCTAAAATGTTGCATATTGATCTCAGAAACCTTCACATTTCTCATAACACACAGCTCTCCTTTGGCATTTAAGACCTTCCGCAGTCTGGTTTCTATGTTCCTTCCAAGTTTCATAGCAGCCATCTGCTCTGGACTCATCACTATTCCTGTCACCGTCATACCTGCATCACACCTACCCCGTCCTACTTCTGTCCCCAGCAAATTAGCCCATCAATCTTGTTGTCTTGGTCCTGGTTTTTTAGAGACCTACTTGGATTCCAGTCTTCTTCTTCCCAGACTATCCTGACCTTTGGCAATAACTTCATTTGTTCATTACATTTTATACACACACACACACACACACACACACACACACACACAGACTCTGAGTGGCCAGATTATTATGACCACCTGACATTTGTAGGCAAATTAGCTATAATTTCGCGCTGAAGTTGCTAAAGGGCCAGACCATTATAAATAGGGAAGCAGGTTGTTTACCACAACAGTAGAAGTGATTTTTTTCTGAAGATATGGGTAAACAACGCGATTTAACAGCCTTTGAACGTGGTATGTATATGTGTGTGTGTGTGTGTGTGTGTGTCTGTGTGTCTATATATATATATATATATATATATATATATATATATGCACTGAGTGGGCAGATTATTATGACCATCCCATCATTACTTCGCTGGGCCACCTTTTGCCTTCAATACTGTGGCGATTCTTCTTGGCATTGACTCCACGAGATGTTGAAAGCTGATGCGAGGAATCTGACACCATGCCCGATGAATAGCACTGTCCAGTTCTGTGAGTTTTGATGGTTATGGAACCAGCTGCCTGATGGCTCTTTTAACTTCGTCCCACAAATGCTCAATTGGATTGAGATCTGGTGACTGTGGGGGCCACCTAAGCAAGGTAAAGTCTCCCTCATGTTCTTGAAACCACTCCTGCACAATACGAGCACCGTGGCATGGCACATTGTCTTGTTGGAAGAAGCCATCTCCATTGGGATATGCCATCAACATGATAGGATGAACTTGATCAGCAACGATACTTAGGTATGTTGTGCTATTCAGACGTTGTTCCAAACCAATTAAAGGGCCCAAATCATGCCAGGAAAACATGCCTCAAACCATAACACTGCCCCCACCAGCTTGAAGCGTTGTACTCATGCATGTGGGGTGCATGCTTTCATGTTGTTTCTGCCAAATTCTCACTCTGCCATCTGCATGATGCAACTGGAAATGTGATTCATCGGACCACATGACTTTTTTCCAATGCTCGACTGTCCAATCCTTGTGTTCCTGTGCAAATTGGAGACTTTTTTTAAAAATATATTTTTTATTGATTTTTTACAGAGAGGAAGGGAGAGGGATAGAGAGTTAGAAACATCGATGAGAGAGAGACATCGATCAGCTGCCTCCTGCACACCCCCCACTGGGGATGTGCTCACAACCAAGGTACATGCCCTTGACCGGAATTGAACCTAGGACCTTTCAGTCCATAGGCCGACGCTCTATCCACTGAGCCAAACTGGTTACGGCTGGAGACGTTTTATCTTGGTAACTGCAGACATCAAAGGTGTTCGAACAGGCAGGCCTTCGGCTTCCATATCCCATACGATGCAGTGTACGGCTAATTGGCCTACAAACATCAGGTGGTCATAATAATCTGGCCACTCAGTGTGTGTGTGTGTGTGTGTGTGTATATATATACACCCCACGTTCAAAGGCTGTTAAATCGCATTGTTTACCCATATCTTCAGAAAAAAATCACTTCTACTGTTGTGGTAAACAACCTGCTTCCCTATTTATAATGGTCTGGCCCTCTAGCAACTTCAGTGCGAAATTATAGCTAATTTGCCTACAAACATCAGGTGGTCATAATAATCTGGCCACTCAGTGTATATATTTCAGAGAGGAAGGGAGAGGGGGAGAGAGAGAGAAACATTGATTGGCTGCCTCCTACACACCCCCCACTGAGGATGGAGCCTGCAACTCGGGTATGTGCCCTGACCGGGAATTGAACTGTGACCTCCTGGTTCACAGGTCGATGCTCAATCATGGAGCCATACTGGCTGGGCTGTTCATTACATTTTCTGTTATACTCATTGGCCCCTTAATTTGTATTACACAGATTTGTATTGATCTCAGTGTTTTTTCTGTTTCTCCAATGAGATTGTAAATTCCTCAAGTGCGGGTTTTTACATGCTGTATCCCTAGAACCTAACAAATAAGGGATGCTTGGTTAAAAATGATTAGTGATGATAAAATATATTCCAGGAGGTCAGTACCTTTTCCTGAAATTGCAGAGGGTACAGAGCTTAGGTCTTGACTACTCTCTGATAAAGAAGGAATTGCTGCCGGGGTAGAATTAGAGATATGAGCTGTCCCTTCCCTGTAACTATGGTTCATAAATGCATTTTTAGAGACTCCAACTCAATAACAGAAATGCTTAATCCTGTCTATGCTTGGCTTTCCCTCTAGGGGCCAGAAAAAGCAAACAAATGTTAAGCTCTCCTTCCTAGTTGTTCAGTCTATGTACTGCTGATAAAAAAGTATTTGCTCCTAGTATCTTTGGCCTTGAAAAGGGTCATTGCTTAAGTTTCCTCTTTCTAAAGCAGCGATTTTTAAACTTTTTGTTTTTCACAAGCACTCCCTGTGCAAATCACTTTAAAAAAAATAGTTTTAAAAAGATATTCTGTTCCTTTGCACATTAAATGCTGTTCTTAAATATTGGCAAAAGATATAATTTCCAGCATAGGATAAATATTGACATTTTTAAAAAGTGTTCATCGCTCTTTCAAATATATCCAATGAAGTCCTAATACCATCAACCATATAGAAAATACATAAAGATATTTAAAATTTTACATCTTTTCTTTTTCTCTTTGATCTTATTTTTTCATTGCAAATTTTCCACAAGATTTTATTCTAATATGATAAAACATAATACCTAGCTAGGACCCAAAAATCGAATTGTGAAAATACAGGGTCATATTACTGCCATAATAATATTTTTAAAATATATTTTTATTGATTTCAGAGAGGAAGGGAGAGGGGAGAGATAGAAGCATCAATGATGAGATTGAATCATTGATCGACTGCCTCTTGAACACCCTCTACTGGGGATCGAGCCTGCAACCCAGACATGTGCCTTTGACTGAAATTGAACCTGGGACCCTTCAGTCTATAGGCCAACACTTTATCCACTGAGCCAAACCAGCTAGGGCTAATACTTTTTTTTTAAAAGTATGTTTTAGCCTATACTATCACAGAAAGGACAAAAGTAAAGGTAGTAAAACTTTTTTAAAAAAATATATTTTATTGATTTTTTACAGAGAAGAAGGGAGAGGGACAGAGAGAAACATCGATGAGAGAGAAACATCGATCAGCTCCCTCCTGCACACTCCCTACTGGGGATGTGCCCGCAACCAAGGTACATGCCCTTGTCCGGAATCGAACCTGGGACCCTTGGGTCCGCAGGCCGACACTCTATCCACTGAGCCAAACCGGTTAGGGCGAAACTTTTTTTTAAGGTACTAAAACTTATTGTACAAACTGACTGCTCACTAAATCGAGAAAGTTCCCACTGATCACAAGGCCGTCACTTTCTAACCACCACCACTAATACCACATGCCTTCTCCAGAGAAACTTAAAGTGTTGGGAATGGGGGCCTGGGTTGGAGGATGGGGGCCAGTTCCACTAGACCAGATTTTCATATTCATGGAGTTTGTTGCCATACTTTTTTTTTGCTACTAAAATGACAAAATATTTTTTAAAGGAAGAGGGTATGGGGGGATAAATGGTGATGGACTTGACTTGGGGTGGTGAACATACAATACAGTGTACAGATGATATGTTGTAGAATTGTGCACCTGAAACCTGTATAATTTTGTTAACCAGTGTTGCCCCAATAAATTCAATAAAAAGGGGGGAAAAGTCCTCTTTTAATGAGATTAATTTTTCTGATTAGTTTATGTGCCCTTGGATGACTATGGCATTGCTAGAATGAAAGAGGGTTCAGTGTCAGTTTTATTTATGTCTTTTATTTCTATCTATGTAGATGCTGAAAAATAGCTCCTAAATAAAGAGATGGGAATGGAAGTAGCTTTATCAAAGTAGTTTTATTCAGTTCTTTAAATTCAATACTAAAAGTCACATTGTCTTTAGTCAGCTTTCAGTTGACATGATTAGCTTATTGTTTATTTTTGTTGAAAACAGAGAATTAGAAGCTGCCTGACTTTTAGAAGACTATGTTATTTAGAATTGTTCATTCTCAAATTTGGGCATTTAAACCCAATAGGCTTTACCAAGACTATCAAATGATTATTAATTGTACGTGTTAGTTTTTCACTTAGAAAAACTACTTGATCCAGTAAATTAATCCAGTTGGAAAATCCAACCTACTATCTTCAAAACACCTTTTCAGATATATTTGGGTGGGATTAATGTTCTAAATATATTTTTATCATAATAGATATTTCATTAAATATATAATTCATCAAAACCAGATTTAATCCACCGTCTCAAATAACCAACCATCTCAAATAACCAACTTAGACTTCCTTTCTGTCAGAAAAAGTCTGACTTGAAAATTCAAATGCTGTGTTAATGAATTTAAAAGAATATTATAAAAATCATTAAGACTAGCCCTAACCGGTTTGGCTCAGTGGATAGAGCGTCGGCCTGCGGACTCAAGGGCCCCAGGTTCGATTCCAGTCAAGGGCATGTACCTTGGTTGCGGGCACATCCCCAGTAGGGAGTGTGCAGGAGGCAGCTGATCGATGTGTCTCTCTCATCGATGTTTCTAACTCTCTATCCCTCTTCTTTCCTCTCTGTAAAAAATCAATAAAATATATTAAAAAAAAACACAAAAAAAACATTCCTAAAAATACACAAACAAAAAACATTAAGACTATTACAGAGCACTCCTTATAAAAGATTACTCAAAGCAATAAAAAAATCACAGAGAATACATATTTTTTTAAAAAATAAAATAATTCAATATGTTATTTTTATCATTTAACTGGTGTGGCAACTAAAATCTTAATTTACTTTCTGTTAATAGGTGATATTAATAAGTTCATGAGACTAATTAAATGGAGATTTATTGTATTTAGAATAAATATGTCATGATAACATCATGAAAAGTATTGTCTGCAGGTTTTATTTAGTGCATCATGAAAATTCTGGTAGTCCTGAAAAATATTCCAAGTTATGTTTAAAATTATCGGCATCACTAAACTATTCTTGTTTGACTGTCCAAAAGTACTTTTCAGTCAGTGAGTGTTGTAAAAATGAATATTTTAAATACAGGGGAAATTACTTATGAGAAAAGCTATTTGTAGCATTCTATATTTCTTTGCTGCTTTGCTGGTGGGGCTTCAATCAAGAGTGATATATTCCTTCCCTGGCAGGAATCTGGAGATGGGAGTGGCCCACTCGTTAAATAACAATATTTACTTCCACTGTCCCCCATGTTACCACATATCCCACTTTTGAACATCCTAACAATTCTCAAATACCCCATTTCTAAATCTCTCTTAATAGAAATATAGAACAGGGAAGGCTAGGAAGCCCCAAGGAAGCAACTTGAGCCCCGTGTAAACTTGTGTGCCTCTGGTTTGTAGAAGGGGAGAAATATTGGCCATGTGGTGTTCTGTTGTTTTTCACATTGCTTAGTTTGAGGGAAGGGTATGTGTAAAAGGTGAGGATGTTACCTTGCTCAAGGGCCCCCTGGAAGGTTTTGAGGTTCCGTTGATAGGGTTAGATATACCCCATATGAAGACCTCTGGTCCAGAGTGTTGAAAATTTCTGTATGTTTGTAAAATGTTTCCATCAGTGATTTGTGCTTCTTTTTTTTTTTTTTTTTTTTAGTTCACATTTGATAAAAGCTTTTATTCAGGACTTCCTTCATGGGCACTGGGAAAACTGGGTTAATCTTTTGTAGGGGGAGTGTAAAACAAACCAACCTGCATTAATGTCAGAAAGCTTATCTGTCAACAAGCCAACACCAAGCCTCTTGAGTTCCCTTTATCTGATAATGTCAAGAAACCTGGGTTAGCATTCTTCCCACCTCAGTCTAGTGCTTATTCAGTCCCCAGCCGTGTTGAAACTGCCCACATGCTAGGTATATATAATGTTAGGAAACAGTTCCCAGTGCAGACAGCTGAAACCCAATCGCTTGCTCTGCTGAGTGTCCCAGTGATTACACGGCTCTTCTGCGAGCTTGCGCCAAATGTATAAAGAACGCAGTGACCACGGCTTCTTGTTCATTCTGTGTGTCTAGGGAGAAGAATGTGGGAACTTCAAACAATAACTTAACAATGGTTCAGGAAATTCAGGAAAGACAGGTAAAATATAATAAATAGGCCTTAAGTCATAAAACTTGCTTTAAGTCCTACATTCCTCATACAGGCAACTTCCTTCTGTTCTACCAGTTAGTGTGTGGGGAGGAGAGAAGGAAGGGCAGCTTTTGAAAATTAGATGTAATAAAGTACCAACGTAACAATTTAAACCATTCTCATAAGTATTTTTTTTTCCTCAACTATACAGATTAATGGGACGCAATAAGAATCTTACGTTGTTTTAAACACCACAGTTCTTTATTCTGGAGAAAGGTTATTAATCCACTCAAAGATCACTCTACTGCAACATTTTTTATGGCCTTTTACAAACCAGAGTGAAGTCATTTATTCCAAGGCTCTATCTGACTGTCAGGTTTGGGGAGAAGATTTACTACTTCTGTTCAAGGTAGAAGGAAATAGAATAAGGTGAGCATTAGGGATTTCTCAGGGCCGAGGGGAATCTCTGTAGAAAGAAGGGGAGGAATTTGGGGACTGTGTAACCAGAAGGCCTCATCCAGTGCATGTTTCCCTAAGCTCATGTCCTCGGTCCTCACCTTGATTTCTTGTCTTCTCTGACACATAGGATACTCTCACCTCCCTGCTAATGGTTCCTAAAATCTATTGCCCAGACCTCTATTTTGAGTTCCAGAACTGCTTTTCTACCAGCTTACTGGATATGCTATGAGTGTGTCCAGCATTTAGAGTTGATACATTAAGAAACAAACACGTGGCTATCCCTTCCCTTCTCCCTCCTCCCAACCTGTACCTCTGTCACCTGCTCATCACTCACATTCAAAATCTGGGCCAAAGGTGCCAGTTACCTGTTCTTTATGCTTATGGGTTGCTTCACTTTCCCACTGCAGGCTGCTGTGGTTTTCTGCCCTTGGAGGAAGCCTCGATGTATTGCCCTTTGCATCTGGAATGAAAAGTTTGCTCATGAAGCTGGAGGAAAACTTTATGCTTTCAGAAGGTGATACCTGAGCCTGCTTGAATCAGCCTGTCCCTCTGTTTTTCCCAAAGGTAGGGTCATGTATCTGCCTGGTACATGTCATCTCTGTAAGGCTCTGGACTAGTGCAGCCTCTGGAGAGAGAGGCCTGCCCCTGCCCCCTTGCAGTCTACGTTTCATGTCTTTTGTCGGTATAGGTGGGGTTGATTCTACTCTTAGGTCCAAGTTCATCTCTAGGTTTCTAGCATTTGAACCACATTTCAGTGAGGAGAGGCTGCATAATTATGGTTTATTTAAAATTTAGTATTCGACTTCCCCACTTGTCATTGATGCAAACCATTTCTGATATCCTGTAGAACTCGCATGTCTCCTAGAACCCCTCCTTTAAGACCAAAGAAGAAGGTTTTCTTATGTGGGCTGTCAGATATGTAGCTGGCATGTTGGGAAATTTGTATACTGTGCCCTCCCCTAACGGCCCAATTTCAGGCCCAGCTTGTGTGGTTCTTTTGTGACTCAGTTATGACTATTCTGAGAGCTGTGGCTGGCTCCATCACCTCTCTTGGTAAGTATTCTCAGACCCTACTGTGTAGGGCCACTTCTAAATCAGCACACTGGACTTCCTTGAAGTTCAGGAATATCTTGTGGAAAATGGGGACAGCTATGAGAAATCTTTTCCTCAGCCATGGCAAGTGGATGACATGCAAATAGGCCTAGGTTTACATTCTGTTGGAAACTTTCAAATAGCTACGTCTAGGAAATCATTCTGTACTTGATAACCAATAAGAGAAGGTTAGGCACTCATTTTTTTTTTAGTTCAGATCAATATAATTATATTGATTATATTCAGCCAACAAATACTATTTTATTCTAATTGAGAAAATGAGGCAGACACTCAGCTATGAGGCATACACAGGGAATGATAACCAGCTATATAAAGTAACTAGTTAACTAAGCAACTGACTGTAAGTTTAAAAAAGAACTCAAGTGCAGCCTGGTGTTTAAGAGCATAAGGTTTTGGGTCACATCTGGGTTTTGATCTTGGTTCTGACACTTACTGGTGGTGTGGCTTAGGTCAGTTACTTAACCTTTCTGACTCCCAGTTTTTCCCATGAAGCATTCTTTGTAGGCTTGTTGTGGGAATTAAATGAGGTAATATCTGAATCATGCCTAGTGAAGTATGGCTGATTGAGCTAGAGTATCGTAGAGTAAAACACAAGTAAAACATCTTCCAGATTCATCAGGGTGTCATACTAGCATGGTACACTGGATGCAGGGCTCCCTAAATTTTCCATGATTAAGGGATGAGTACTCCCAGAACCTGGAATGGTATTGAGATTGTTGGCAAAAGCAAAATGGCTTTGACTATGGGACTAAGGGGATGTGAGGGACAGAAGGGCTGCCAGGGGCCAAATTAGCAGGCATGTCCCACATCAGTTCAGTAGGACAGTTCATGCCAACCCTCATGTAGGTTTAGGTACCGAAGTGCCAACTCCCCATCATCAAGTGGAGGCGATGGAGAAGTAAAACGAGTACAACCCACTATGTGGTCAAGGTATGCAGAGGGTATTATAGGGGCAGAAGCGACGATTAGGGGACTGAGGAGTCAGAGAAGGCTTTCTCTCAGTGGAGACACAAGTTCAGTCTTAAAGAACAAGCCAGTAGACATTACAAGGGGTGATAGTTTAGGTATCAGCCTGTGTGAGAAATAAAAATGTGGGAACATAAAACACAACTTGATTCTCTACGATTGCATTTTCCCAGCAGAGTTCTATTTTTCCTCATTCTGAAGCCCTAGGTTCTAACCTGTTCTTGACTCACACTGGCCCACACTGCTGTATCATCTGCTTGGCTAACACTCAGCCAGATTTCACCTGGTAAGCACGGTTCTTGAAATCTTGTCTAAAAGTGCTGAACATGAAGCCTTTAAGAACAGTGATGTTAGATCCAGCTCTAGCCGGCTTCTCAGATTTCCACTAGACTGGTTCTTCTGCAAGTGCTCAGTGGGGTAGGGAGTTCCCCATCCCACTCACCTATATTTGCACTGAAATGAATTGTGCATTCCAGCCCTATAGTAATAGCCTCCACAAATAGACAGCTTAAAAGGCAGTCTCTCATGAGTCCTTAGGAGAAAGATTAATGGGTACCTAAGACTTGGGTTTCATTGGCTCTCAAATCTCATTTATCATCAGAATCTCTGGAGGAATTTTTAGTGCAGAGTCCCAGCTCCTACTGCTATAGATTCTAAGGTGGAACCTGGGTCTGTATGTAAAAATAAAAGCAAAAATCTCCCACTAGGGACTCTAATCATCAGCCAGATCTGGAAACCTTGGATGAGAAGACGGCCACTGTGCCATCTGTCCACAGACCATCGCTGGGGGAATCTGACCCACCAGGTTCTTTTTCCCATGAATCTTTACTGAAAGCCACTAGTCATCCTGGGCAGAGGTGAAGAGCGTACCCTCTGAGTGACAGCAGCGTTTCTCCCTGTGGACAGAGGCAGTGAAAACCAGTTAGCGAGAGAGACAAAGAGAGCACACATGGGAAGCGTCAGAGATGAAACACGCGGAGGTGTCCTGGCAGCTCTCCAGGCCTCAGTTCCTTCCTGAGGCCTGGCCACACTCCTGTCGTCGCGTCCATGAGATGCTCCTTTATCCTTATAATAAATTCCTCTCTGTGGCTGCAGCCGCCACAAGTTGGCTTCTGTTACCTGCAATTAAAGAGCCCAACGACTACGCGTCTCACTAAAATAGCTTCTCTAAAGAACAATCGAGGCATACACTTCCCACTCAGGCTGGCGTGAAATATCACCTTTCTTCCCACACAGGCCTGGAAATGGGCTCGGGGGAGGAAAAAACAAAACACTCTTACTATCGGGTAGTTTATTCAGCAGTTAGCTCGGTTCAAGGAGTGCCCCTTTCTGCAAAAAAAGAAAGACACTTGATTGGTGGGAAGAAAGGAAAATGGGGACAGCTATGAGAAATCTTGCTCTGATGGGAGTAACACATGGGCCAGCAGGACCCAGAGCGGCCTCTCTCAGGGAAGAGGATCCACAGCCAACTTCAACTTCGTGGTACAGACGATTCTGAGGCCCAGCCAACCTGCCACACTGGCCCTCGTCTAACCCTTCTGCCTCCCCTTCGGAGTCAGCCCGAGGCTGGCCAGGGTCTCTCAACTGGGCCGAGACTTTGGACTCATTGGGGTGAAACAATCAACACTGCCCACGAAACGAATAGAGAGCACAGCCACTCTCAGGTGGGAACAAAGGCAACCGCTCTTTCCCAGAGGGAGCGTCCTCTCCCCGCCTGGATGCCCTCGGGATCCTCCCCCACCTGGCACTTCAATACCCTTCTGCTTTCCAACAGGAAACACGTTCAAGCCTCCAGCCGCCACCACACACCTCGAAGCCAAACGGACATTCACCAGCCAGGGGACTGGGCATTTAGAGCAACGTCCTTCGGTGGGTCCGTGAACTCGGCGGCTTACTCCACAAATAAGCCTGAGGCCACGGAGGCCACTTGGGCCAAGCAGCCCTGGGTCCTGTGGCCGCAGAGTGGCCCTGAACCTGGCCAGCCGATGCCTGCCACCAGAAGAGAGATCTGAAATGGGCGACAGGAGTGCTGAGGCAGAAAGAGCCACTCCAAACTGTAAAATTGGGTCCGTGATGTCATTATGTACTAGTGATCTTCAAATTACCTCCCAGAGCCCCTCGGGGTTCTGCAGAGCACCCTGGGAAGGAGAGTGGGGTCTGAGTGTCGCCCCGCCACGGGCTCCCGACAGAGCAGCTCCACCTTTATCTGTTTATTCACTGGCTCCTTGCCATTTTGTTGGCAGGATGGATTCATAACTCATCACGCTAACAGCTCCCCGTGAGCGTGCATGCAGGCACACGCACCAAGCGCTGGGCTCGGTGTCTCAGACGCCTCGGCTTGATTCCTTCAAACAACTCCACGGTGTAAATACTGTTTCTATCCCCAGGGTCCAGCTGAGGAAACAAAAATCAAGTATCTTGTGAAGATGACAAAGCTAGTCTGTGGGAAAGCCAGGGGTTGAATGCGGCTCCCTCCGCCCCTGGAGCCCTGGCTGATGTCCTCTGGAGGGACCACAAGGAAAACCCTCCGACAGAGGAAAAGGAAAAGTCAGCCATGCACTGGAGCAATGGTTCCCAACCTTGCCTGCACACCGCCTCACCAGGAGGCTGTAAAGATTGCGGACACCAGGCTCTTGCCTCGCGAGACACTGACATAATGGATCTTGGAAGCAGCCTGGGCACAGGGATTAGTTTTTTACAGACCGAGAACCCCTGTCTTAGAGAAATAGTGATAGGAATTCAATAATTAAAATTACATGTCAACACTGACTGGAGGGTGTCAAAGGTAGGAATTTCCCTCGCGGCAAAGTGCTTAGCTGATGGAATAAGTGTCCTGTGAGAAAGAGCAAGAAACACAGCCAAAGCCTTCCTCTGGCTCTGCCGCCCGGCGGAGAGACGCTCCTCCTTCCTCACGGCTCCGCTAGGTACCTGAGTGCATGTGGCGGTCACTTATTTGGTGCGGCTGACATGGCAAACTAACACAGTGGTTCTCAACCTTGGCTGCACATTAGAATCACCTGGGAATCTTTTTAAAATCCTGATTTCTGGGCCTCATCCTCCGGAAATTCTGTTTCTTTGTTATGGGGTGAGGCCACAACATTAGTAACAAAGAAACAGAATTTCTGGAGGATGAGGCCCAGAAATCAGGATTTTAAAAAGATTCCCAGGTGATTCTAATGTGCAGCCAAGGTTGAGAACCACTGAACTAACATAAAGAGAGACAGGGAAGGACATGGGGAAACTGGGAGTTGGAGCCTACTGTCTGCAATTCTGTCTTTTATATACTCAGTCCTGGACTGGGATAAGGTGAGGCAAGGGAGGCCTTGGGTACAAAATTTAAGGGGACTCAAATAAAACCCCTTTGTCATCAGGATAAATAATGTTTTAGTACCATATTTAAAAAAAATCAATGCAAAAAACATTCACGATGAACAGAATGTCAATAATTTAAACATAGCCAGGATCCGACAGGACTGAGGCTAGGTGAGGGGGTGGGGTGAGTGGTGCAGATGTGGGGAGGATCTCCCGTCTTTATTTAAAATAAATATTTTTACATTAACTTTGATTTTTTCAAAATATTATATTAAATCATTCTTTATATTTTTCTTTTAAAATATTTTTATTGATTTCAGAGAGGAAAGGAGAGGGCTAGAGAGATACAAACATCAATGATGAGAGAGAACCATTGATTGGCTGCTTCCTGCACACCCCACAATGGGGATCTAGATCACAACCCGGGCATGTGCCCTGACCGGGAATTGAACCATGACCTTCTGGTTCAGAGATTGACACTCAACCACTGAGCCACACTGGCCAGGCAAGCATTGTTTTTCTTAAATTGTGTGTCCCACTGTGAGTTCCAGTAAACATTCCCACACGGGGAATAAACGTGGGCTTATTCAGATCCTTCTGAATTGAGAGAGTGGGATATCACAAAAGCATCAGAACACTGGCCTCCCAGAGGACGGGAGGGATTGCCTGCATCAAAGTGAACACTTGTACAAACAAATAGCCTCGTAGTTCAGGGCCGGCAGGTTAGGGGAGAGGGAAAGTGGACAGCATGCAGGAGAGGTACGCTGAGCACAGGTTGTCAGCTCACATCATTGAGAGCAGCCTGAAGTTCCCATGTCTGCGGAAGCGTTAGGCTGGGCTGAGCTTGGATCTGAGCACACAGCTCCTGTTACATAGGATTCAGACTGTTACCTTGGTAAGTTAACCTGTTTAACCTTCACTTCCCCTATCTGTAAAATAGAGCTAATAATATATTCCTATAGGGATGGTTTAAGGATAGATGAGGATATATATATATATACACACACATACACACATACTAGAGGCCCGATGCACAAAATTTATGCAAGGGCCTTGGCCCTGGCCCCGCCTGCCGCCTCTGCCGCGGCCCCTGCTCTCTGCAGCTTTGTCTGGAAAGAAGGACGTCTGGAAGGATGTCAAGTCTAATTAGCATATTATGCTTTTATTATTATAGATATATGTATATATATGCATATGTATGTATATATGTATATGTATATATATTCCCCCAAAATATATACACATCTTAACAGCTGATAGCTTAATTTTGAAAATGAAATGTATTTTAATAAATACTATCTTTATAATTATTCAAAGTGTGTATACATTTTTGGGGGACATCCTATATATATCACTTTGCAAATTTTCTTGTACATTCTAAGTGCTAAAAACATGGCAAGTTATTCTAGAAGCTCTACCTTCATTTCTAAGTTTATCTAGAAGCTCTACCTTCTTATCTCAGTCCACTCAGAACGTTTCACCACTCACGCCAGATTTTTGGTTTATTAATACATCTGGAAAGTTGTCACTAAAATGGGTCAGGATTAGAGAAGAAATGGAGAAGCCGAGATTCTAGTCGCAGGTTTCGGACTTGCTGGCTGGTGTTAGGTACATCCCTTCACATCTCTGGGCCGCTTTATTTCTTCCTTATGAAATGCGGATAATAGTATCTGTCCTGTTGTTCTCCTGTTGTGGGGATCAAAGAGATATGGTGCAAAAGTGACCCACAGCTGCGCACTCAGGTGGAAATAAACTTTGTCAGGGTGTACTTCTTTAAGTGAGCTCAGTTCACCTTTGTCTGATCCTGGACTCCAATAAGCCTTGGAAGTCGATCCTTTATTTGGGAATTTAAAACGATAGCAGAAAGGATGAACTGAGAGTAACAAACTTGGACTATGGAATGAACTACAAATTATTTGCTAAATTCTTAATTTAAGTAGAGAGAATAACATGACTTCTCGTAGTAACTACACTACTTTCCCACAGGGCATTGGGGTTACTTCTAAGACCGACTGCCTCTTCATCCTGCCTGCAGCTGCTTCTTTCGTTGTTCTGAGTTTGTATATTTTGATCTTCTTGAGTATCCCAGGTAATTACGCATTCTCCACAGGGATGTGTTTGAATAATCATGTCTTTTTCACACACGGCTTCATGAGAATGTTGAGTCTTTTCTACTGTAATTGCTTACAATTCAAGCTTGAAATGCAGTCGTTTTCCAGCCATCATTAGGGAGTGAGCACGGTGTAACGATCGAGAGTATGGCTCTGAGGCCATGTGGTGCTGCCAAGTAAGTGGCCTTCTGTTAAATGGGGCGCAATAGCCCTGATCTCAGAGGGTGGTAGTGAGAAATGGAAGAATTAATGTTTATAAAGTTACTTAATATAGTGCCTAGCAAGTAGTAACCACTCAATAAATGCAAACTATTATTGTATTGCTCCTATTTAAGTTCGCTACTGCACCAACCTGTGCAATTCCGACATAGAGGTTTGTTCTATGGGGTAATTTCTGTGAATACCAACTACTGCTCCCTATTAAATTTCCTGGCAATGTCTTTATCTCTCTATTTCTTGCTTTTTTCCTCTCGTCACAGAGGCAATGGGAATGGTTGCATAGACCAGTTGTAGGAAGTCATTCCATCTTGGTTCGTAATATTAAACATACACCCACTGGTTGTAGCTACTGACGATTCTATCACGTGGTAGTCCTCTGTCATTATGGATGGTCTATAATAGCACTTTGTAAATTATGAAGGGTAAAGTTCTAGTAAAATAGTCAACATTTGATTGGTATCATTAACAATCAGTTATTTGTGTAGTTTATGGAAGCTAACTCATTTTTGTAAAAGTGCAATTAGTATCCAATTCTAAAAACAGTTCTCAGTTGCCCTGGCTGGGTAGCTCAGTTGGTTATAGTATTGTTCCCATACACCACAGTTATGGGTTTAATCCTTGGTCAGGGTACATAAAAATAAGAATCAATGAATGAATGCATAAATAAGTGAAACAACAAATCTCTCTCTCTCTCTCTTTCTTTCTAAAATCAATACATAAAAAATTAAAAATAAAACAGTTCTAAGTGGTAGAGAGATGGAGGCTGTAAAATCCTGCTACCAGAACAGGGACATTTTGGGCTAGCTGATGACAGGATGGTCAAGTTAGAAGTGTGATATCATAATTGATATGATTTGCACAAGTACATATTTGAAGATTATGATTATTCATTGAAACAGAACATTAAAACAAAAATCTAATAAAGAAAGGGTTGTGATATAAAATAGTTCATTAATATTCCTGTGCTAATTTATTTTAAAATGATTTTTTTAATTTAAAAAGAATATATGGTAATACAAATTTGAGATAAATATATATGTATGTATTTTAAAAAGTCACTTATTATACCATTACCCAAAGATGGTTAGCATCCAATTTTTGTTTTGAGTTGGAAATAAGCATATGCCATTTGAGAAATGACATACCGTTTTATCATATGCTCTCTGGTCATCATAGCAGCTCTGAGGTGGGAAGTCTATGTTCTCAATGGAAACAGCCTCTGAAAGCCTGGCACTTTGTCAAGTTCACAGAGTTGGTAAGTGGAAGAACCAGAATTTGCACTGGAGTCTTTAACTTCAAAGTGAGCATTCTCATCAAACACAGGAAAGTAGATATTGTGTGTTTCTTTTATTTGAAGTTCTAGAAGAGAGAAAACTAATCTATGGAAATAGAGGTTAGATCAGTGGCTTCCTGGGTGGTGGAGGCAGGGAGGGGTTGGGGAATGACTAGGAAGGGACATGAGGAATTTCTGGAGGAGTGGAAATATTCTATATCTTGAGTTGGGTGTTGTTTACACAGATGTCGACATCTGTCAGAACTCTTCGAATTATACACTTAAGATCTGTACATATCACTGTACATAAATTATACCTCAGTTTTAGAAATCATTTTTTACTTTAAATGATGGGATATTAAATTTGGAAAATGGACAATGCTGTAATGTGTTAATAATGCAAATATATCTTTACATTTTAAAAAATATAAGCTATTTTAAGTATCTAAGCAGCCTTCTTCCCTTTCCTTGTGTATTAATGTCCTGTTGCTACTCTAACAAATTACCACACACTTAGTAGCTTACAACAGCATAAATTTATTATCTTTAAAATCGGTCTCACTGGCTAACGTCAAAGTGTTGGCAGGGCTGTGTTCCGTCTGGAGGCTCTAGGGGAGAGTCCATTTCCTTGGTTCAGAAAGATGAATTAAAAACGATGGTTCAACGAGAAGACTCCAAATGACCCATAAACATGGGTGTACTCAGCCACCTTAGTAATTCAAGAAAATGAAATAAACAGATAATGTCTATCAGTAGCAAAATAGAGTTGTGATTTAGCCATGTAATGGCATACTATACAGATATGAAAAAAATGAACAGAAAAGATAAACAATAAGGGATTGTATATATACTCAAATGTAATATTGTGTGGAATTAGCCAGTCACAAAAGAATACACATTGAGTGATTCTAGTTATGTGAAGTTAAAAGAAAAAAACTAAACTTATAGTGTTGAGGAATGGGAATATACAGAGAAGCAAAGCAGTCAGAATAATAAGGAAGGAATGGTGGAGAAAGGGGATGCATGGTTTTTGGGAAGAAGACAAAAAGGACTTTGGGATGCTGGAAATTCTTGTTTATTGACCTGGGTAGTGGTTATATGGGTATTTATCTTGAGGTCATCATTGTGCTGTTTGTCTTTGTATGTGTACTCTATTTCCCAATTAAAAAGTTAGAAAAAATGCCACTAAGGTGGGTCAAGACAGAAAGGAAAATCAGAACTTATTAGAAGGCATCCAAGAACCTAGGGTGATATTGGAACAATGAAGCACCGAATTTAACTTACGGTTTGCAGGGGCCAGTGCAAAAAGGGAAACACGCTGTATAGTTCATATTGTCTGATAAAAATCAGCACACGTATGCCTGGAGAGACAGATATTTCTCTGGCTCTAAATTGTGGGCAGAATATTATGCTCATTACATAAGAGGTAAGAACAATGTATTCTGTTGTGGATTTTCTGAAGACCACAAAATGTTTCTTAAATGCCATTTCTTGTCTGAATTCTTGATAAAAACTGAGAGCACTGCATTAAATCATAGCTCGGTGAAGGCATTTCTGAGGGAATCTTAAGTTGACACCATCCTGTGGCTTTCACAGGAGGAGCTCTGAAGGAATTCCAGCTGTTCCTTGAATGCAACCTCTGTATGTATCCTCAGCAGTGTCCCAGGCTGACTCACTCTATGGAGGGTTTCCTTGGTTTTCTCCCATTGTACTTTGGCTCTCTTCCTTGACCTCTACTTGGCCTTGACCACAACCCATCTCTTACTGCTGAGCATGCCTGACTCCCCAGTTTGGGGTTGGGGCTACTAAGTATTCCTAAGAGTGGCTGGCTCTACATTATGTAATGAATGTAAATTGGTGCAATATTTTCTTTTGCCTCTCCTGCTTCTCAAAGAGTATGAACATAAGCCCAAACCTTGAATATTTCTAACTGAAGTCTTAGGTGGGAAGACTCTTTTCCTTGTAGTTCCAAAGCTCTTGCTACAGTTTCATGGAAGACGCTGATTGGCTAAGAGAGAAGAAAGGTAACATACAAAGAAGAAACAATATTTGCGAGAATAGGAGCTGAGAGAGATGAGGACAGACACTGAGAGACTAAGTGACAAAGACCTAATGGTATTGAGTCATGGTTTCTATGTCTGGAGTCCCAGAGTTTCTTGTTTCCCGCCTTTCTGATCATGGATGAACAAAGACCTCTTTTATTCCATGAGCTACACTTATGTTATATATATACCAGAGGCCTGGTGCATGAAATTCATGCATGGGTAGGGTCCCTAGGCCTGGCCGGCAATCAGGGCTGATTGGGGCCTTCCAGCTGCTGGCTGGGGCCTTCCTATGTTCCATGCTGCCCCCTGGTGGCCAGTGCACATCATAGTGAGCGATCGAGCTGCTGGTCTCCTGGCCAAACTCCTGAGGGGACAATTTGCAGATTAGGCTTTTATATATACACTAGAGGCCCGATGCACGAAAATCGTGCAAGAGTAGGCCTTCCTACCCCCAGTTGCCAGCACCAGCTTCCCTCTGGCACCTGGGACCCAGGCTTCCCTCTCAGCCCTGGCTTCATCCAGAAGTACGTTCAGTCTAATTAGCATATTACGCTTTTATTTTATACTAGTGGCCCGGTGCACAAAATTCGTGCACAGGGCAGAGGGGTGCCCCTCAGCTTGGCCTGCACCCTCTCCAATCTGGGACCCTCGGGAGATATCCGACTGCCGGTTTAGGCCCCATCCTATCCCTTTTGCAATCTGGGACTGCTGGCTCCTAACTGCTTATCTGTCTGCCTGCCTGAT